CTTTGAGTACTATATTAAATAGATAGAGTGGACAGCCTTGTCTTGTTCTTGATTTTTGTGGATTGCTTTGAGTTTCTCTCTAGTTTAATGTTGTCTGTTGGCTTGCTGTATATTGATTTTTATAATGCTTAGGTATGTTCCTTGTATCCATGATCTCTCTAAGACACCCTCACAAAGGGGTGTTGTATTTTGTCAACGTCTTTTTCAGTATCTAATCAGATGATCATGTGGGTTTTTTTTTTTCATTTTGTTTATATGGTGGATTACATTGATGGATTTTCATACGTTGACCCATCCCTGCATCTCTGGAATGAAGCCTACTTGATCATGGTCGATGATTTTTATGGTGTGTAACCTTGGATTCGGTTTGCGAGTATTTTATTGAGCATTTTTGCATCAAAGTTCATGAGGGAGATAGGTCTGTAATTCTCTTTCTTAGTTGCATCTTTTTGTGGTTTGGGTACAGGGTAACTGTTGCCTTGTAAAAAGAGTTTGGCAGTTTCCCCTCTGTTTCTGTTTAGTGGAACAATTTTGAGGAATATTGGTATTAGCTCTCCTTTGAAATTCTGGTAGAATTCTGCTCTGAAATCATTTGGCCATGGGCTTTTTTTTTTGGGGTCTGGGAGACTTTTTAATGATTGCTGCTATTTCCTTAGCAGGTATAGGTCTATTTCAATTGTTTATCTAGTCTTGATTTAATTTTGGTATGTGCCACCTATCAAGAAAATTGTCCATTTCCTTCAAATTTTCCAATTTTGTAGAATATAGGTTTTTGAAGTATGACCTAATGATTCTCTGGATTTCCTCAGTGTCTATTATTATGGCCCCCTCTTTGTTTCTGATTTTAATAATTTGCATATTATCTCTCTGCCTTTTGATTAATTTGGGTCAAGGTTTGTCTATCTTGTTGATTTTTCACAAAGAACCAGCTCTTTATCTCATTGATTCTTTGTATTGTTTTCTTTGTTTCTATTTTATTGATTTCAGCCCTCAATTTGATTATTTCCTGTCATCTACCCCTCCTGCATGAGTTTGCTTTTTTTTGTTATAGAGTTTTCAGGTGTGCTGGTAAGTTGCTAGTGTGAGATTTCTTTATGGAGTCACTTAGTACTATGAACTTTCCTCTTAGCATTGCTTTCAAAGTGTCCAGTAAGTTTGGGTATGTTATATATTCATTTTCATTAAATTCTAGGACGTGTTTAATTTCTTTATTTCTTTCTTGACCCAGGGGTGATTCGATTGTTCAATTTCCATGAGTTTGTTGGCTTTCTGCAACTAGTGTTGTTGTTGAATTCTAACTTTAAGCCATGGTGATCTGATAAGATACAGGGGGTTATTCCAATTTTTTGTATCTGTTGAGGTTTACTTTGTTACTGAGTATGTGGTCAATTTTTTTTTCCTTCTTTGGGTTTTGCTGGTGTTGGATTATCTATTGCCTATGTTTTTGTTGGTGTAGCTAGCTTCCTTGGTTTGGAGTTTTCTCTTTTAGTATTTTCTGTAGAGTTGGATTTGTGGATAAGTATTGTTTAAATCTGGTTTGTCATGGGATATCTTGTTTTTTCCATTTATGGTGATTGAAAGTTTTGCTTGGTATAGTGGTATGAGCTGGCGTCTGTAGCCCCTTAGTGTCTGCAGAATGTCTATGACCTGGCTTTCAGAGATTCCATTGGGAAGCCAAATGTAATTCTGATAGGTTTACCTTTATATGTTACTTGGCCTTTTTCCTTTGCATCTCTTACTGTTCTTTCTTTATTCTGTATGTTTAGTGCTTTGATTATTATGTGGCAAGGGGACTTTTTTTTTTGGTCCAGTCTATTTGGTGTTCTGTAAGCTTTTTGTACTTTCATAGGCATGAGGTACTTCTTTAGGTTGGGAAATTTTCTTCTATGGTTTGAATACAGTTTCTGTGTCTTTGAGCTGGACATCTTCTCCTTCTTCTATCCCTATTATTTTTAGGTTTGTTCTTTTCATGGTGTCCCAGATTTCCTGGATCTTTTGTGTTAAGAGTTTGTTGTATTTAACATTTTCTTTGACTGATGAATCTATTTCCTCTATCACATCTTCAGCACCTGAGACTCTCTCTTCCATCTCTTGTATTCTATTGGCTATGTTTGCCTCACATTTATCTAGATTTTCCATTTCCAGAATTCTCTCAGTTTTCGTTTTCTTTATTGCCTTTATTTCAGATTTCAACTCTTGAGCCATTTCCTTCACCTTTTTTTGTGTGACTTTCTTTGCTTGCTTCAAGCAATTTGTTGACTTCTTACAATTTTTCTTTTTCTTTTTTTAAATTCAAACATTTTATTCATTTTTTTTTTGCTTTATACCCTTCAAAATTTCCACCTCCTCCCCTCCTCCCATTTCCTTCCTTCTTCCCCTTCCCCCTCCCCCTTCAGTCCCAAGAGAGGGCAGGGTACCCTGCTGTGTGGGAAATCAAAGGCCCTCCCCACTCCATCCAGGCCTAGGAAGGTGTGCATCCAAACAGACTAGGATCCCAGAAAGCCAGTACATGCAGTAGAATTAAATCCCAGTGCCATTATCAATGGCTTCTCAGTCAGCCCCCATTGTCAGCCACATTCAGAGAGTCTGGTTTGATCACATGCTCCGTTCATTCCCAGTCCAGCTGGCCTTGGTGAGCTCCCCTTAGATCAGTTACGCTGTCTCGGTGGAAGAACCCCTTGTGATTCTGACTTCCTTGCTCATTTTCTTTCCTCATTCTGCTCTTCAACTGGACCTTGGTAGCTCAGTCCAGTGCTCCAATGTGGGTCTCTGTCTTTCTCCATCTATTGCCGGATGAAGGTTCTATGGTGATATTCAAGATATCCATCAGTTTTCCTCTACTTTTTAAAGGGAATTTTTCATTTCTTCTTTAAGGGCTTCTATCATCTTCATGAAGTTATTTTTAAGTTCGTTTTATTCTGCTTTATTGGCGTTGGGATGTTCATGTCTTGCTGATGTAGAACCACTAGTTTCTGGTTCTTTATGTTGTTCTTTATGTTGTTGTGGTTATTTTGTTTTTTTCAAGTCAGAGTTTCTCTGTGTAACTGCCCTGGCTGTCCTAGCTATTGTAGACCAGACTTGCCTCGAACTCACAGAGATCTGCCTGTCTCTGCCTCCTGAGTGCTGGGATTAAAGGCATGCACCACCACCTCCTGGCTGTTGAATGTATTCCTACACTGCCATTGCCCATCTTTTCCTCGAGTGGGGCTTGTGCTTCAAGAGATCCCTCTCCCTCCAATTGGTGCAGGTGGGACTTATGGCTTAGGTAGTAGCTCTTCCTCCAGGTGCATGCATGCCTGTGCTGCTGATGGATGCTGATATGACTCGGAAGCTCCTCCGGGCATAGATGGGGCCTAGACTCAGGTGGTTGCAGATGCCTTGGGGAGAGGTTAGGGGTATGGGAGGCTGCTGCCAGGTCTCTGAGGCTTCGCTGAGTGGAGTGATGCATGGGGTGTGCCTCAGGGGTCTAAGGCCTAGTGGATAGGGCCCTCCAGCTGGGAGCCCAGACACTCCTTCTCCACATGTAGGCGGGCAAGGCTCTGTTGATCTCAGATGTTGTGAGGGGTGGTTAGGGGTGTGGGGAGACTGCTCCCAGATCTCTGTGGCTTTACTGCGTGGGGGTGGGGCAGGGATGTTCCTCCAGGGGCTAAGGCCTAGAGGAGGACCCTCCCATCAGGGAGCCAAACACCTCTCCAGGTGAGAGCAGGACCAAGACTCTGGTGGTCTCAGATACTGTGGGAGATGGTTGGGGGTGTGGGGAGGTTGCTCATAGGTCTTTGTGGTTTTCCTGGGAGGGGATAGGGCAGGAATGTTCTTCAAGGGGCTAGGGTCTAGAGATTAGGGCCTTCCTGCCAGGGAGCCAGATAATCACCTCTCCAGGTTGGGGTGGGGCCAAGACTCTGGTGGTCTCAGATGCTGTGTGGGTGTTTGGGGGTATGGAGAGGCTACCCTCAGATTTCTGGGGCTCTGGTGTGGGGGGGTGGGGCACTTCTGGAGTAGGCTCTAGCCGGGGAACCAGATACTTACCTTTCCAGTCCTATTTTTCTCTTTTATAGACATTACTTTCCATACTGGTGTTGCACTCCATCACTCTTGCTGCATTCTGGATATAATAAGATATTTGGAAATTTCCTTAAACTTTTCAAATGGGAAGAATGGACATAGCTATTATCTATTTTCTGAATTGACATCTCAGGGAGTATGCTATCAAGGCCGAATGCTTTTGTCACCATTATGTTAGGACTTTCTTTTTTTTTTTTTGGTTTTTTCGAGACAAGGTTTCTCTGTGGTTTTGGAGCCTGTCCTGGAACTAGCTCTGTAGACTTTCTTATCAGGCAATGAATTCTTTTCTTTTCCATTCTCCTTTCATCACCGACATTCTGTAAGTCCTTGTGAATCTGAAGCAGGAGGGGAATGAGTTCAAGGCGAGTTCAGGCTACATAGACTTTTTCTCAAAGTAAGGAAATAATGGTTTCATTTTTTCAATTCTTGTTTCTTTATTTGAGATTTTTGTGCTTCTACCTTGGTTACTAGATTGTTGTCCATACATGCTATTTTAGTAACTTTTGCTTTAGCTGAACCCATTCACACCTTTGGTATTTTATTCCCTATCAACAAAAAATAAGATACCTTTTGGTATTAGAAACTTATTGAACGCAGGTCTTGGGTTTTCTCAGCAAATGTTCTGTCACTGAAATTTATCTCCATCTTCCCCTAATATTCTTAATACAATTAATACTAAGTACAATCTAGATTCTGGAAAATGGCCCTTGGTCATTTGTTTTTTTTTCTCATCCAAACAGAGGGGAAACAAGCATTCCAGTGTAATCATAGTCGAAGAGTTACTAATTTAATAACTCCCTTCACTAGAGCTCCATTCCCCCGTATGAAAATTGGAAATAAGTATTACCTGCCTACTTCCTGGAATGAAAATGATTCTCCATGTGCTTCGGAACCAGTAGGGGGGACATCCACACCCTGAGCTCTTCCTTTGTCTGCAGGGCTACCTGAAGCAGTGCCGAAAGAGAAGGGACATGTTCAGTGATGAGCAGCTGAAAGTCATCTTTGGGAACATTGAAGACATCTACAGATTTCAGATGGGCTTTGTAAGAGACCTGGAGAAGCAGTACAACAATGATGACCCCCACCTCAGCGAGATAGGACCTTGCTTCCTTGAGCATGTAAGTATCTTATTTTGTTGATTTTAAAAGCAATGTTAGGGAACAATAGAAGGGTATGTGAGATTTCTGGTTCTAGTCAGTTGTGGTGCTCTGGAATGGGGGATGAGTTGTTACATGACTGATTTTGACCCTTCATTTTTAACAAGGTTAGAAGGTTTATAACTTGTTTAGGATTATTTTTCTTTGCTATTATACTCTCTTCTCTCCCAACCTTTGAGGAAGTTATCAAGAGGATTTTTTTTCTAACTTTTCTTTTCTTGTTGGGTTCAGCTTCTTTGAGAGCCAATATTTGGGGCAGAATTCAATATGCCTTGTTATAATGAAACAGCTAAAACAACCAAGAAAAGAAAAAAGAGAACACCTGGCTGAAGGTTCTAAGAGTTGTATGAAATGTCTCTAGGAAACTAAAGATTATGTGTCCAAGATTTCATGGAGGATTGATTATACAGGTAGCCTTTGTATAGCATTGCTAAAATTTCAGATTTTTGGAAGAAAAGCAAATATTTTATATAAACCACATTGCTTCTTCTGTCTGGCACAATGAGCTGTTGTGGCCAGGACATGGTAAGGATCCTTGTTGGTAGTCAAGTTCTATGATGCTTGTGAAGGGCAAAGTTTTCAAGGAGACCTTTCTACATACAGGACTCCGAGACCTGATACGGTAACTCTTTCTGTATAGTATATTGACTAGTTCAGCCATTTCAGATAGTACCTGAGTAGTTTTATAAATATTACACATGAGTATGACCTAGTAGTTCCATTCCAAAAATTATAGCTGAGAGACACTATAAGAGATCCAGAATGCTCAGGCACAAAATTGCTGAGTGCATTCAGTGCTGAGTGAGCTGGAGTGAAGTCAGAACAACAAAAACATCAGATGGGACATTTTGTTCTTAGGTATTACATAAGAGCAGACTAGATATACATCCTTTATAGCAACACATAGATATCAGTTGTGTTAGGAAAGCAGAACACAGATCAATGTCTTCAACCAGAGGTTTCCTTTTGCATTGTCATGTGTGTTATTAGCATTCTTTGGCTCTATCTGTTAGATGCCAAATATCGTTTTCCTGTCCAATGGTTATAACAACCTGTACATGTCTTCCTGCATTGTCCTATGTCCCCTAGGGGATAAGAAGACTCTTTTATGCTTTAATATGTTAATGTTAATATTTTATTAATTTGAATTGAATAGTTTTCATATGATAAATGAATGTTATAAAACTGGGATAAATATTTGATAATGATATACTATTCATTTGAAATATTGTTTTGCCTTCAAAAGTCACATTGTTCTAGAATGTACTTATCTTTATTTTATTGTTTAAAATGTATTGGATATAACTTACATATAAGATTCCCGAATATGAATTATATATGGCAATGAATTTTTTAGTAATTGCAAGTAGTTATGTAACTACCCTTCTAATCACGAAGTAGTGGTGCATCCCTTTAATCCCAGGACTTGGGAGGCAGAGGCAGGCAGATCTCTGTGAGTTCAAGGCCATCTTGTTCTACAAAGTAAGTTCCAGGACAGCCAGGGCTGTTACATAGAGAAACCCTGTCTTGAAAAATAAATTAGAATATTTTCATTTCTACATAAATGTTCTTATCTTTCTTTTATGTTTTAACCCCAGCTTCCTTCAAACATTGATATGCTTTTCATTATTACATTACTGCTTCTTCTAGAATGTCATATAAATGAAGTAAAGTGATAGGATCTTTTGTACATGCCCTTTTTCACTTAACACAGTGCCATTCATGATGTGATAATTCTACCAGTAGTTGATCTTTTTTACCTATTCACCAGTTAGTGAATATCTTGGTTGCTCCCAGTTATAAATACTTACAAATAAAGTTCCTGTGAATATTCTAGCATAAGGTTTGGTAAAAACATAAATTTTTATTTTGTCTTTGAAAAATAACTAGAATTAGAATAGCTAGGTTGCATGTAATTTCCATAATTTTTTTTCCATTTTTTTATTGAGAAAAGGAGAAAAAAAAACAAGTTTCCACCTCCTCCCAACCTCCCATTTCCCTCCCCCTCCTCCCACCCTTCTCCCCCTCCTCCCACCCTTCTTCCCCTCCCCCCACTCCTCTCCCCCTCCCTCTCCAGTCCAAAGAGCAGTCAGGGTTCCCTGCCCTGTGGTAAGTCCTAGGTCCTCCCCTCTCCGTCCATTTCTAGGAAGGTGAACATCCAAACTGGCTAGGCTCCCACAAAGCCAGCACATTACGTAGGTTCAAAACCCCGTGCCATTGTCCTTGGCTTCTCATCAGCCCTCATTGTTCGCCATGCTCAGAGAGTCCAGTTTAATCCCATGCTTTTTCAGTCACAGTCCAGCTGGCCTTGGTGAGCTCCCAATAGATCAGCTCCACTGTCTCAGTGGGTGGGTGCACCCCTCGTGGTCCCGACTTCTTTGCTCATGTTCTCCCTCCTTCTGCTCCTCATTGGGACCTTGGGAACTCAGTCATAATTTTATAAGTCTAAAACAATTCCAGTGTTATGCTATTTTACATTTTCACAACTGATATTTTGTTTCAGGTGTCCTATATAATGGTTAACATTTGATATTATTAATTTAAAATGATCATCAATTTCATTAAGTAGAAAGTGATATCTCATTATGGTTTTGAAGAATTTTTAAAGAATTTTTAAATTAATATTTTGGGTTAACATACAAAGCAATGAATTTCATTATGGTATTTTCGTACCTATCTATGTGTTATTATACTTTGTTCTAATTTGCTGCTCTCTCTCATTGTCACCCCTATGGCTCCTATACGCTTCTGTCTGGTTTTTCCTTCTCAGTATTGTTTTGGTTGCCTATTCACAATCTATCATGTTTCAATAGGGATTTTATAATTGTGTTACTTTTTGTGAGAATGATATTCTACATTTTGTATGAACAAAAATGTTTTTCTTTGATGTTGTGTTTGTATTTTTATTTTTCCTGAGGCATTATTTTCTAAGTTACTTTTTCATTTATTTTTTTACCAACTTGTTATTCAACAGCATACTACTTAGTATCTTAGTCCATTTTATATGGCTATAGCATGATAACTTCTTAAGCAAAGAAATCTGTTTCTTAGAGGTATGGAAGCTCGGAAGTCCCAAAGCATAGTCCTACCACAAAGTATGGCAGGGATCTTCTTGCTATATCATAGTATGGCAGGGACATAGGAGCACATACAAGACAGAAAAGAATGAGTCAAACTAACCATTGGATGTAGAGCTTATAGCTACATAACCAACCCACCTTTGCTCTACTAACATTTTGGGGGGTAATGAGGGGAGATGGCAGATCTTAAATTTCCCTCTTCTTTACTTCGAAGATTTATTTTTATTTTAAAATTTGTTATTTAAAATGTAGCCATTAAAAAATCGCACACTATAATTAACCAGACCCAAAGCCTATACAATTCAATGACCTTCTTAATACTATTGCAATGCCAATTAAATTTCAACATAAAATTTAGAGTGTGCATTCAAATTATAGTATCCTTCCCTTGGCCTCCTAAAACCATTATTTATGTGCAAAATCCATTTATTGTACCAGTAATTTCTAGGTTTTAGCTAATTACAGCACCAACTCCAAAACTCAACAGTACGTCTCATTTAAATAAGTTATGAGTGGAAGCCTCAAAGAACCCTTTGTCTGAGGCAAATGAATTCCAGCTGTGACAATGAGATGAAAGTAAGTTATCTACTTCCAAAATTTATCATCTCATCATCTTCTGTCTACTATGTACCTGCTGAGAAGTCTGTTTTTTTTTTATTTTCTGTTATAAAACTTGAAATATTTTCATTTTGTATAATCATTTACATGGTGCTATATTACTGAAGAATATTTTTATAAAAGTACGTGATATAGGTTGACCATATCCCCCATATTCTCCATCTTCTTCTTTCTCAACCATCTTCCTCCCATCAGTCTTCTTGTTTTCCTAGACAGCTTCCATTTTTTCCCTTTTGCTTTTAGATCACACACACACACACACACACACACACACACACCCGATTTTAGTAATCTCTATAAAATCTAGGAACAAAAATAACGAAAAACATGCAATAGTTATTTTCTAGAACCATTTGCATCAATTTTCCTGAAAATGACATAATTTTATTCTTTATGACTGAAGACATTTTATTATGTATATTGTGATATATTCTTTTTGTTTATATTTTAGCAATACAATGCTTTTGTTAATTCTTAGAGAATTTCATACATTGTATCTTGATCATATTCATCTACAACTCTTCTCCCTAGCTCCTCACAGATCCATCCCTCCTTCTCCCCACACACTCCCCACTTCATATCTCTCCCTCCCTCCCTTCCTCTCTCCCTCCCTCCCTTCCTTCCTTCCTTCTTTTTACTTTCTTCTTTTTCTTTTTTGGAAGATACTTTATGGCAGCAGATATTCTAGTTCCCTCAATCTTACAATCTTTTGCACCCCCCCCCCCAATGGTGTTCCTTGAACTTTAAACAGAGGAGTTGCGCTGTGAATACATTAACTGGGAATGGACACCTGTCCTACTTAATTTTCTAGGCTGAGATAAAACACCATGACCAAGGCAACTTATGTTCATTTGGGCTTATGGTTTTATAAGGTTAGAGTGCTTAATGGCAGAGTGGAAGGACAGATAAGAGCTTACTTCTTGTCCTGCAAGCAGGACAACATACACACAGGGTAGGGATGTTGTGAGTCTTTTGAAACCTCAAAGCCTGTCCCCAGTGACACAACTCCTCCAACAAGGTTACACCTCCCAATCTGTCCCAAACAGTTCCACCAACTGGGTACCAAGTGTACAAACACCATAGCTCCCCGTGGTCATCTATCTCTGAATCTTTTCCAGTTATAGCTTTCTGCAATTATCTCTATTTACTACAGAATGTAGGTTCTAATAAAGTGTAAGAGCTATGTTATAGGTGTATATAAGTGTAAGGATTTAAAGTTCTGTTAGAGAGTATACTAATTTTAAAAATATTACAATAGTATGT